CAGGCAAGTTTCCAGGACAAAGTGGGGATATGAGCCCAGCCTTCCAACAACCTAGTCTGACACTAACTACTAAACCATGCTGGCTGCCATCAATACGTGTAAAATCCCCTCGTGGTTCAAACAGATGCTCTCTGGGGCCCTTTCAGGTTAGGAAAACACTACAGGGGGACAGCTTCATCCCCTTCTCCTTATGCACAGTGGTCCCGATACAAAAAGGGTCCTAGGGTTGCCAGGTCTTACCTGCGTCCAGGCGGGGGGCTACAGCTTGGATCTCGGGGTCTTCTGGAAGTGACATCATTGCGCTGGGCACATCATTCGGGGACGCTCTAGCATTTGGGTAAAAACCTCTATGGTTACCATAGAGTTTTTACCCAAATGCTAGAGCGTCCCACTGCACGATGATGTCACCTTTGGGTGATGAAATGCAGGATTGGGCCCCCCAAAAGTGGAAATACCCCACCCCCATCAGAGGATGGCAACCCTATTGGGCCCCCATATGCTTGGGAAGTAAGTCCCCAGAATGTAATGCCCGCCATATGCCTCGTCAACAGATCCTGGGGTGGTCACAAGGACACTGGGATTGATCCTCCTCTGACCCTCTGCCAGCTAGCTGCCATGTTTTGCTTGTTCCCTTCTCTGATCCTGGCTTGCTCGCTGCTCTGCCGCTTGCCGTAAACATTGCTAGGGAGACCGTGAGAGCCAGTGCTGCCAGACGGCGTTATCTGTCTGGCCTTGTGAAGGAGGGAGGGCTTGCGTTCCACCGCTGGTGTGAATCTTTCGGCTCTCATGAGGCCCTGCGACTCTCCCGCTTATCATGCGTCCTCCCGCCGGGAGAATTCCCGCACGCGCACTCAAATTTCATTTGCTTAGCCATTTGCTTCATCTTGCTATATGTAAGGATGTTTCCGCCCCATGGTCATTCCTAACAAGAATCCTGTGGATAGGGTACCAGTTTTGTAATCTAATAAAGCATAATGCTTCCTTGGAAACGTGTGTGGAGATTTACTTGCTGATGAACCTGACACCCTCCCACTCCACTTAACGAAGTATGAAGACTTCTTCCAGCCTACTCCAACTTTGGTGGCTTTTCTGTTGGAGAAAAAGTGACTTAAGCGGGAGGAAGCCTCCTTAGTCTCCTTGGATCGTGGACATATCTTGGGCTTTTTTTTCCTGTTTGGGGGTTTGATTTATAATTTTAAAAAGTAAGGGTTCCCCCCCCCAAAAAAGGATAAAAGTGACATTCAACAAAGACTGCCAGCCAAACGTAAAACATATATTTTTAAGTGACTGTTTATATACATCTTTAAAACGGATATTTCAGTGAAAATGAAATTTCTCAGGCTTGCAAATGAACTTTATATTGTTGTGCTAGTACCTACCGTTCACACAGCTGCAACAGGGAATACCCAAGTAACAGGGTTGCTAGGAAACATTCAAATAATTAGCTGCACACTTTCCAGAGAACTGGTTAACTGCAATCGAATTGTTCATTCCAGTAGAACAAGTGATCGTTTATGGTTCCATACCAACTTAACAAACAAGCTATTGTATTAGAGGGAACAGCCACGGAATTGGAAAATTTTCTACTCGTACGGGTCTAATCTTCAGACAGATGACACACAGCAAGCTGTTTTCAAAATTCTCAAAACGCAAATGAATGTTAGCTCTTTTCCCCCAAAAGGAAGGAAACTGAGCAAACACCAGCAATATATATCACACACACACAGTTCAAGATGTTTTATATAATGCGTTTGTTGTACTATTAACAAGGGGGAAATCATTGCCTCCCATTACAGCAGGGAACCTAAGAAACAGGGAAGGACTTACCTAAAGCTACTGAGTGAGATTGTCATCCTCCAGGTGTGATTGGGGATCTCCTGGTGTTCCAACTGATCTCCAGCTGAGATCAGTTTCCCTGGACAGGAGCCAGAGTCCAGTAGCACCCTAAAGACTAACAAAATATGTGGCAGGCGATGAGAGTTCATGAGTCACTGCTCATGATGAGAGTTCATGACTCATGAAAGCTCCTACCCTGCCACACATTCTGCTAGTCTTTAAGCTGCTACTGGACTCTTGCTCTTTTCTGCTGCTACAGACAGATTAACACAGCTACCCTTCTTGATCAGTTTCCCTGGAGAAAATGAATTTTTGGAGGCACTGTGCCCAAACCCCTTCCCTTCCCTAGGCTCCGCCCCCAAAATCTCCAGCTATCTGCTACTACTACTGATTTCCTGGCAGAGAGAGTATTTGGAGACTTCCTGATCTGAAGCATCTGCTCTCAGCCACTGCATGATTTATCTCAACGGGGGCTCAAAGTGGTGTATAACACAGGTCCCTCCTCCTCATTTTATCCAGCCAGCAGCACCCTTGCAAAGTAGGTTAGGCAGAGAAAGAGTGACTGGCCCAAGATCAGTGGACTAGTTTTGGCGGCATGGTAAAGCTCTGAACCCAGATCTCCTAGATTGTAGTCGGATGTCCTAACCATGACAGCAGGGCTCTTTTTGTAGAAAAAGCCCAGCAGGAACTCATTAGCATAATAGGCCACACCCAACAGCAGGAACTCATTAGCATATTAGGCCACACCCATGACAACACAGCTCATTAGCATATTGGGCCACACCCCCGTGTTACCAGAAGTGTGCTCATCCAGCCACACCCACCTTTTGCTTCTTATTCTGTTTACCTTGTTTGTTGTCAAAACCCAGGGCCTTTTTTTGGAGCAGGAACTCCTTTGCATGTTAGGCCACACACCCCTAATGTAGCCAATCCTAATGAGTTCCTGTTGTTGGGTGTGGCCTATTATGCCAGTTTGGTGTAGTGGTTAAGTGTGCCGACTCTAATCTGAGAGAACCGGGTTTGATTCCCCACTCCTCCACTTGCACCTGCTGATGTGACCTTGGGTCAGTCACAAGCTCTGGCACAGCTGTCCTTGAAAAAGAGCAGTTTGTGTCAGAGTTCTCTCAGCCCCACGCACCTCACAGGGTGTCTGTTGTGGGGAGGGGAAGGGAAAGGAGTTTGTAAGCCGCTCTGAGACTCCTTCGGGTAGTGAAGGGCGGGGTATAAATCCAATCTCTTCTTCTTCTTCTTCTAATGAGTTCCTGCTGGGTGTGGCCAACTTCGGAGCCAGCCGGAATTCCGTTCCTGTGCGTTCCTGCCCAAAAATAGCCCTGCATGACAACATTCTGGCTCTATACTATATCAGCTGCGTAGAAACAGAGGGATGTAACTTTCTGGGTATAACTAAAGGTTCTGGCTAAAGTCCTCCTCATTCATTACCTTGATGAGGATACACACGTACATCAAGAGAAACATCAGGTCATTTCAGTGGGGCTTGGATAAGCATCATGCAACTGATGCGGACAGAGATCAGCATCCATATCGGCTGGGCCTCTAGAATTCGGCTCATGCACAGGGACCACCTTTGTTGGGGCAAAGTGACAGAATCTAATCTGTAAGACTCTAGATCTTGTGGACATTATGGATAGGGAGATCCTAAACTCCCTTCAGATCATTTACCATTACATACATGAAGCGCTGTCAAGTCGTGACTGAGTGATGGCCGCCCAAGCAAGCGGCTTTCAAGGCAAATGAGAAGCAAAGGTGGTGGGCTATTACACCTCATCTCCAGATGACCAAGATCAGTTCTTTGGGAGAAAATGGCTACTTTGGGCAGTGTACTCTATAGCGTTATAGTCTGTTGAGGTCCCTCCACACCCCAGACCCTGCCCTCCCCAGGCTTGACCCCTCAAATCTACAGGTATTTCCCAACCCAGAGTTGGCAACCCTGTAACTGGCTACGGAACTGTTTTCCAGACTCTTGGAACCCAGGAAACATAGCATAGGAGGAGGTGCTTTTCTACCTTAGCTGCCACTGCATCGCCCCAAACCAACATAAGCCAACCTCCAACTGGCACCTGGAAACCCTATTACAACTGACCTCCAGATGACCAAGATCAGTTCTCCTGAAGAGAATGGCTCCTTTGGGCAGTGGACTCTATGGCATTATACCCGGCTGTGGTCCCAACCTTCCAGAGGGCTCTGGAAGTCTCCAGGGAACCACTGCGTCCGGCTGCCGACTGATATCACTTGCCTTACATACACATGCCACCTCAAGATACAGTCTCAATGGTTTACCGTCACAACCACTGGGGCCGAGAGGCTGGGCAGCGCATGTGTGGGTGGGACTCAGGCAACGCAGCCAGTGTAAAACGGGACACCTACTGAGTGACAGTTCAGGCACCCAACTGATTTGGGAGCACATGGAACGTTGCCACTCAAAAACAGAATTATATATTATTTATTCCCAAATGATGAGCTGGGTGAGGTTCGCTGGAGACCAATCAGGCTGGGAAAAAAATTAAACTGATGTGTGATGCTTATTTGGTAACTCACAAGGACAACAAAGTTCGAGTCCAGTGGCACCTTTAAGACCAACAAAATTTAATTCAAGGTATAAGCTTTCATGTGCACGCAGACTTCTTCAGATAGAAAGCGTATGCCTTGAATAAAACTTGGTCTTAAAGGTGCCACTGGACTCAAACTTTTGTTCTGCTGCTTCAGACCAACACGGCTATCCACCTGAATCTATCTTACTACCAGTGTTCCCTCTAAGCTGAGTTGGTGTGAGCTGGCTCACCGTTTTCTAGCCTCCGGCTCACACATTTTTGTCTTTGCTCAGGGAGGGACGGCTCCAGAGCAAACTTATTTATGCAGCAGCCAAATCGCTCGCTCACAACTTTAATGCCCGGAGCTCACAAAGTAGGATTTTTGCTCACAGGACTCCACCGCTTAGAGGGAGCATTGCTTACTACATTCCTTTGGTGTGTGGCCTGACCAGCAAAGTTAAGAACTCCTGCTTTTGAATGATCCCTGTTTCACATCACAAAAGATTATGATGCTGAAATGCTTTCTCGCAATGAGACAATGAGCCAACGAAAGCACTGACGAGATCCCTTCCACATTAGACCACCATAAGGGGCTAGAACGTACGGTTTACTTACAGGTATTTTAAAGGCATCTACCGACCCCTGGTTCTCGGAGTCCATTGATGGTCGCCGGACATTAGTTGATGAGTAACTTATAGGGTAGGACTGGGCCGGGCGCCGGAAGGTCATCTCTGCTGAGGCAATGGGTGGCTTGGGAGAATTTTTGTGGTAACGATGGATGAAGTAGGAAGAAAGGAGAACTGAGATGATGAAGGACAGCAGGACGCCCCCCGCGATCACCGTTTTGCACATGTCATCACACAACGGCTCTGTTGACAAAGAGAGGGTTTCGTGAGGCCACACAGGGTTCAACTTCTCTCCTTCCACACCTCTTCATATTCCCATTTAAAACATCTCTGTTAGGGACAAAGTCTAACAGCCAGGGCTATTTTTGGGCAGGAACGCACAGGAACGGAGTTCCGGTTGGCTCCCGAGTTGGCCACGCCCAGCAGGAGCTCATTAGCACAACAGGCCACACCCAACAGCAGAAACTCATTGGGATTGGCTACATTAGGGGTGTGTGGCCTAACATGCAAAGGAGCCCCTGCTACAAAAAAAGGCCCTGGGTTTTGACAAGAAACAAGGTCAACAGAATAAGAAGCAAAAGGTGGGTGTAGCTGGATGACTATACTTCTGGTAACATGGGGGTGTGGCCTAATATGCTAATGAGCTATGCTCTCATTGGTGTGGCTGGGTATGCTAATGAGTTTCTGTTGTTGGATGTGGCCAATTATGCTAATGAGTTCCTGCTGGGCTTTTTCTACAAAAAAAGCCCTGCTAACAGCGAAACAACATAGTGAAAGATTTACAATACCATCCTAAGCAGTGCTACACCCTCCGAGTCCACGTAAGTCAATGGGCTTAGAAGGGTTTGTAACTCTTTTTAGGATGACACTATCGGGAGGGTTTCAGTTGCCTCAGGAAAACCGTCCCTCAGCTATCGAACCTTTCCACACTGCTCCCTCAGACCACAAGGCTGTAATGGTTTGTCCAGGGATCCTCAAACGTCTTGAGACTGTGGGCACCTTTGGAATTCTGACATAGCGTGATGGGCACTGTCAGAAGAAGGCTGCCATGGGAGGCAGAGCCAGCCACAAAATGGCTGCCACTGCTTACCTTTAACAGCAACCAAAGAGGAACACACAGTGTAGGTACACAAGGGAATAGCAATCGGTGTGAAAAAGACGCTAACACTAGTTCAGTAATGACCAAAGTATTAATACAAATACAACCATAGAAGCACAATATTAAAGTAGAAAAATTTCCTCTTGAGGTGAAGATGCACGAAGAATAATATAAACGAAGAGACTGGATATTAAGAACTTCATTTCGAAGAACTTCCTCAGTAACTGATAAACAATGTGAGGAATTTCAGACACTACTTTTGGTCAAGTGTCTGATGCTTCAGGGAAGCAAGCATCTCCTGTTTTTTAAGAGAAGGAACAACCAGCAGAGGTCAATGGAATACTAGTAAAATGGCTGCAAATTTTCACAGGATGGGGGCCTTAGGGGTGGGGACTTCTGTCCTTCTCGCCTGTTTCATTCCTCCTTCTTCCCTTTCCCCAGTTCCCTTGCTTTCATTCCCCCTTCTATCTTCCAAACACCTTTCTGTGTCTCCCCGCCCTCACTTTTCTTTTAGCATACCGGAAGCACAGCCCCGTTGCAACCAGGAAGAGAGCTCTGGTGCCACACGGTGCGATATTGTCTCCTTTTCCTCAGCCAAGAGATCTTTGGTGCAGTGGTTAAGTGCACAGACTCTAATCTGGGAGAAGCGGGTTTGATTCCCCACTCCTCCACTTGCAGCTGCTGGATGACCTTGAGCAAGGCATAGTTCTGTCAGAGCTGTTCTCTCACGGACAATTCTGGAAAGAGCTCCCTCAGCTCCATCTACCTCACAGGGTGTCTGTTGTGGGGAAGGGAAAGGAGTTTGTAAGGTGCTCTGAGACTCCGAGTGAAGGGCGAGATATAAATCCAATCTCTCCTCCTCTTCTTCTTTGACCCAAGAGCACCCGGGAAGACCCATGGGAAAGGGATTCATGTGTGGGTAAGGTATGCCCCGTCTCCCTTCCAAGTCAGTCCTCTGCTTTTGCCACAGAATGGTGACAAGCCAAAAATGCTAGAAGCTGGTGGAAGCTGGAGATCTGGCTCTGGTATATAAGTAAGTAGTGGTTTATTGCGGTCAAAGACCATAATAACAGCAAATACAGTTAATATAGCAGCAATCAGAACAATAGTAAAGTAATTTCTTTTATATAAAAATATGAGAAATTTCAGACAGGCGATATATTCCGGAAGAGGAACGGTTCCCAAACGGTTTCTGGTCTGTCATTTCAGACAGAACCGTTTTAGAATGGGTTCCCTACTGGAATATATTTGTAATTTCCAGGGCTCTTTTTGTAGCAGGAGCTCCTTTGCATATTAGGTGACACATCCCTAATGTAGCCAATCCTCCGAGAGCTTACAGTAGCCCCTGTAAGAAGAGCTCTGTAAGCTCTTGGAGGATTGGCTACATTGGGGGGGGGTGTCGCCTAATATGCAAAGGAACTCCTGCTTATAGCGCTATAACGGAACAGCAATATAGCGCTATAACGGAACAGCAATATATCAATGCCATTGGAATGCCTGGAGTGTTTTGTTATAGTGCTATAGCGCTATAAAGCGAACGTTAAAAAAAAAAAGAGCCGGAGATCGCCCGCGTGGGCGAAAAACGGTGGGGAAAAAGCGGTGCAGTCTGAAATGGCAAACCGCTTCAGATCCAGCTCTTTACCGGAAGGGGAAAGCCATGTGTGAAATGGCAGCCCTATACCGGTTTACTCCACGACAGATCAAAAGCGGCTTCAAAACAGGTTAAAAAGGGTACTGTGAAATTCCTCTGTATCTTCCAATAGGTTATATGCACTCTTGTGAGTTACAGCAAGCATATCTCATCAATGGGCCGTCATTGACAACACATCTCAGGGAAAGCTCAAGGCTTCACATCACACTTGTGGAAGGAAGTGTGATGTGAAGGCTTGAGCTTTACCTGAGATGTGTTGTCAATAACGGCCCATTGATGAGATTGCGTTTGCTGTAACTCACCAAACCGCTTACCTTTAGCCACACAATGAAGATCCTCGTGCTGTGGTAGCAGCTGCTCCTCAAGCAACATTCTTTTTTAAAAAAAAAACCTGAACAGCCAATCAGTTCTCCAAAGGTCAATCAGAAGCCTTGCTGAGCAGAAGCCCCACTTTCTAAAAGCACCTGGTGGCAATGTTCCCTCTAAGGTGTGGCGTCTTGTGAGTAAAAATTCTACTTTGTGAGCTACCGGCATGAAAGTTGTGAGCCAGCCATTTGGCTGCGGCATAAATTAGCTTGCTCTGAAGCCCTCCTCCCTGAGCGGAGACAAAAATGTGTGAGCAGGAGGCTAAAAAATGGTGAGCCAGCTCACATTAACTCAGCTTAGAGGGAACACTGCCTGGTGGGCACCAGGAAAGGTGTTGGGAGGGTGCCCCGTTGCCCCCGATCTATGCTATTAAAACGAGGTTAGATAAAGATAAGGAGCGGGGTATCTCAAGTTAATTCTGTATTCTGACCAATGTTCCCTCTAAGCTGTGGAGTTTCGAGAGCAAAAATTCTACTTTGTGAGCTACAGGCATTAAAGTTGTGAGTGAGTGATTTGGCTATTATATCAATTAGTTTGCTCTGGAGCCATCCTTCCTGAGCTAAGACAAAACATATGTGAGCCGGAGGCTAAAAAACTGTGAGCTAGCTCACTCTAACTCAGCTTAGAGGGAACAATGATTCTGACCAAGATTTAGTTGGAGGCTATCAGCAGCCGAAAGTGAGGCTGCAGCCCTGGGAAACCGGGAGCTCTTGTCACTTTGAAAAAATTATAACATTCTTATCCTGCTCCTCCATATAAACACCTCAAGCCAGCTCACAGTTCATCACCCCCAACATGCATCAGCCTCCATGTACACAAGCGGTATAAAAGCAAGCTTTTCCAGAGCTGAACCAAAAAAAATTAAAAGTGAAATGTCCGGTGACATCTTTTAAATAAGATTCATTCCTGAATAAGCATCCCCGAGTTAGAGGTCTCTCCAGCAGAAATCCAAAGCCATCTAGCCGCTTCTAAAACGGGAGTCCGCTTAAAGCCGAAAGAGTGGCAGAGATAAAAAGCCCAAGAATAAGTAAAACGATAACCAATAAAAATGCAGGTTAGGAATCATGGAACCAGCATTGTCATTAAAATTTTAAAAAATTAAAAAGTCCTGCAACAAATAAATGTAGGGTCGCCAGGTCTGGGTTGGGAAATACCTGGAGACTTTGGGGGGGGG